CGGCCCGGCGGCGAGGGGCTGTCCGGCGCGGCGATGGCTCGCGCCGCCTGGCCAGCGAGCACCTCCGCGCGGCGGCGCGCCGTCCGACGGGGGGGGGGGCGGCGGTGGTGCTCGCGCGTCCCCCGCGCCGCGGATGCGCACGCTGCGGGGTGCGGGGTGGGGAGCGGGAGGCAAGGAGGAGGAGGAAGGAGGAGGGAGGAGGGAGGAGGGAGGGAGGGAGGGAAGGCGGAGGGAGGAGGGAGGAGGGAGCGAGGGAGGGAAGGAGGAGGGAGGCGGAGGAGGGAGGAGGGGCGGGAGGGTGGAGGCGGGAGGTTAGGCGGGATGGAGGGAAAGGAATGGGTGGCAGGAGAGTGAGGGAGGCGCGGGAGGGGGGAGGGTGGGAGGGAGGGAGGGATGGTGAGGAGGAGGACGGGGGAGGGCAGGGAGGGAGCGGAGGGAGGGCGGAAGGAGGAGACGAGGAGGTGGAGGAGGAGGAGGGGATGGAAGGAGGAGGAAGGAGGAGGGAGGAGGGAGGAGGGAGAAGGGAGGGAGGGAGAGAGGGCGCCCTCTCGATTGCTGGTTGTCCCCAGAGCGCCGCGCGTTCTCAGACCTCTGGCGTCGAGACCTTCTCGACGCTGGCGGCTTTCCCGAAATCTCGGCCTCTGGAAACTCGCTTCGAGCTCCAGGCCCGTCAAGAAACAGCGCAGGATGAAAAACCACATGAACGCGGTGCCCCAGGAAAGGCGGCGACGATATTGCATAGCTAATGTCCCAATCGTCTTCTCGTCGTTGCATCTGGAGCTGGGGCGAGGAGCTAAAGAAGGGGGACTATCGACGACGCGACGAAGAGCGGCGGGAAAGGGAGGGAGAAGAGAAGAGAATGGAAGATAAGAAGGAGCGGTGGGAGAGAGGGGGAGGTGGAGGGAAGGGGGAGGAGTGGTCGAAAAAGGTTGGGAAGGAAAATATGGAGGAAACGGTGTGCGATCTCCGACCTCCTCGCGTGCTGCTTCCCACTGCTTGCTCAATGCTTGCTGCCGTGCTTTTGGGTTATTCTGCTTTGTCGCTTGCTTCTTCCACACTGCTCGCATCACAGCATGCCATAGACCAGTGTACTAGAGTTCGCCATGCTAACGCATACCAGACAAGGCATGAGAAAGTGTTGTTAAGATTCTTGACGAGGTTAGTGGACGACGCAAACTTCTGATACGTAGTGCTGGGGCCCAGAAAGAGCACCAGTGGGGACACGAAAACGGAGAAAAACGGCTCGAGCGGCGCGAAGCTTGCAAATCATGTATTCCATCGGCCGAGCCGCAGTCTCCCCCTGGCCGGCCAGGTAGACAGTGGGATGCAGGGAAGAGACGGAGGGGGAGGAGCAGGAGAAACGCGGCGTGCTCTGGCACGGTGTCCGAGCAGCATCAGAAAAAAGAGGAGCAGGAAGAGGGGGAGTTATTGGAGGAGGAGGAGGAGGAGGAGGAGGAGGAGGAGGGGCGGATGGAGGTGGGGGAGGAAGGGGAGGAGGAGGAGGAGGAGGAGGAGGAGGAGGAGGCGGAAGGAGGAGGAGGAGGAGGAGGAAAGGACGTGGAGTGAGGCGAGCGGAGCGGCGGCCGGACGAGGGCTGCGAGGCTGGCTGCGCCTGCTGCAGCGCGGACGCACGTCACGGCTGCGGGGCCGGTGCAGTCGGCCCGTATCATAAGGGGAGGAGGAAGAGGAGGAGGAGGAGGAGGAGGAGGAGGAGGAGGAGGAGGAGGAGGAGGAGGAGGAGGAGGAGGGAGGAGGAGGAGGAGGAGGGGGAGGAGGAGGAGGAGGAGGGGAGGAGGAGGAGGAGGAGGAGGAGGAGGAGGAGGCGGAGGCGGAGGAGGAGGAGGCGGAGGAGGAGGAGATGCGCGATAAGGATGCCAGGGCCTTGGGCGCCGATCTCGAAGCTTCTCGAGCGAGGCGCGGCCAACGAAGGTGGCCAAGGACGGACTGAGGAGGCAAGGATGCAAGCGCACCCTTCGGAAGGTTGCCCACCCCTACTATGAGGGTTGACTGCACTGGTGGGCTTGCAAGGGCGCGCCAGGGAGGGGTGTCCAGCGCCGATCCGAGAAATCCGCGCGGAACTCCAAGTTTTATGTTCATGCCATTCGTCGTTCCCATCGGTTCCAGCTGATACCAGCTCCGGCAAGTGAGACGTGGCCGACGGCCGACGTCCGGCGACTCCGCCGCGCCGGCCGCACGGGCGGGCCCGGGCTTTTTTCACCAGCACGCTCGTGGCGAAACGGACTCCAGTCAGCCTGAAAAGGATCAGGCCCTGGTCAGAGACTTACGCACACGGTGGCAAAAACTCCTGCGAAGAACCCTTCCGCCCTACCGACACGTCTGGTGGTGCGACGGGAAGCACCCGTCTACAAGGGAAAGGGATGGCGGAAGAAGGGGAGACGGAGGAGGAGACGGAGGAGGAGGCGGAGGCGGAGGCGGAGGCGGAGGCGGGGAGGAGGAGGAGGAGGAGGAGGAGGAGGAGGAGGAGGAGGAGGCGGAGGAGGCGGGCTCGTGGGAGGCGGGGATGAGGAGGAGCCAGGGGGGGAGGCGGAGGTGACGGAGGAAGAGGAGGAAGCGACGGAGGTGGAGGACGAGGCGGAGGGGAGGGGTCGAGGCGGATGCGGGGAGGAGTGAGGAGGCGGCTGGAGGTGGAGAGGCGTGAGATGGGGGAGGCGTGAGGCGGGGAGGAGGAGGCGGAGGAGGAGGAGGAGGGGAGGGGACGGAGACGAGGCGGAAGTCGTCAGCAGCGGGAGGCCACCACTGCGAGGGGGGAGAGTAGGAGGAGAGGGAAGGCCCGAATGGAGGGGGGGAGGAGGAGGAAGGAAAAACCGAGGAAGGGAGGAGGGAGGGAGGGAGGAGGGAGAGAGGGAGGAGGGAGAGAGGGAGAGAGGGAGGAGAGGGGGAGAGGAGGAGGAGAGGGGAGGAGAGGGGAGGACGAATGGGGGGGGAGGGGGGGGCGGGCCGGAGGGGGTCTCCCCGGCGCGGCGGCAGCGCCTCCACGGCGAGCAGGTCCTCCTCCGTGAACCCGGCCCGGGCAGGCGGCTGGCCGCCCCGTCCTCGGGGCAGGGGCGGGCCGGCGGCTGCGGCGGGGCTCGGGGGCGGGCCGCCAAGCCCGGGCGGCCGAGGGGCAGCGCTGGGCGTGGCCCCCTCCATCGCGCCTGGCGTGTGCTCGCGAGAGCACTCGCTCGTCTCCCCGCCCCTGCGATTGCCGGCCCCCGGGGGCAGGGGCCCCCCCCACTCCAACCGAGGGGCCCAGCGCCGGGCCCACTTGGGGCGGCCGCTGGTGCCAGCCCCGGCCCGGAGTGGGAGGCAGCTGCGGACCCGGCGCGCCCACCCGGCCCTGGCGCCGGCGACTGAGGGCGACGGCGCAGCTGCCGGAGAGGCCCCGCAGACCAGGGCTGCAACGCAGACTGATGATGCGGACCACCGCCGAAGGTTCCTTCCAGCCACATGCCCCCCACCAGCACAGGACGCTTCCTGTGCGCCAGGTGTGGGCGTGACTGGGTCACGGCATGGTACGGCGCGGACACAAAGCACCAGGCCTGGGTCATCCGCGACGTCCGCCCGGCCAGCGCCCAGGGACAGATGCTGACCGCGCCGCACTCACAGCCCCGGTCAGAAAAACCCCACGCACCCAGAATGCCCTGTGTCTGGTCGACGTGGACCACGGGCAGGAACGACGACCATGCGCCAGCGCCCGCGGCGACTCACCGGCCTGGAGCAGCGCACCCACTGCACCCAGACCCGCCCACGGAACAGACGCGACGACGCACCACTGACGCGGCTGGCAGCATACGCATGACAGCCTTTCCCGAGAGCTCCGGCGCGACACTGAGTGGGGGCAGCAGTGAAAGCGCAGGGAGGATCGCTTCAAGACCTGGCCCAGAATCATCTACCGGCTCGAGGCCACCTGTGAGGCGATGTTCGTGGAGGGCTAGGACGGCAAGGGTACAGGCAAGGGCGCTGCAACCCAGACGGTAACAAAGAGTTCTGGGCGCGTTTCCTGTCGAACCTCGCCGACTGTCACCACGACATATGGTCCTTCTGCCGCTACCGCTGTGTCTGGGTAGACTGGACGAGGCATGGCGCCAGCAGCAGGAGCGGCAGGTACGCAGCGGCGGAGGGAGAGGCAAAGGTGGCAAACGCTCCAACGACGCCTCCTGGCATTCGGCGGGCCACCCCCGTCCGAGCGGAACATAGCCAACGGCGGGGATGCTGGCGAGATGGGCCTCCATCGCCAGCACGCACCTGCAGGACAGGGACGCTCAGGGCCAAAAAGCGCACCACGCAGCCCACAGACAGACCCGCGGCCTCACCTGAGCTCGTGCGGCGGTGGCGAGGCCCCCCACCGTGGCCGGCGCCGCGCGGGCCCTTCCTGGTGGGCCGCCCCCGCCTCCCTGCAGGACCGCCTGCCCTGTGAGAGGGGCGCTGATTTGCCCAGCGCGTGCTCGCGCCAGCCCGGTGCCCTGGCCCGGCCGTCTGCCCTCTGAGGTGGACGCTGTCTGGCTCCAGTGCTCCACGCTCTGGCGCCGATCCGGCGCACCTGGCTGCGGGCCCCCACCATGGCGGGGGTGGCTCCCCGTCGTATAAGCGCGCCCGCCGCGCTTGCGCCCCTCCCGGCGACCCAGCCCTGCGCGCGGCCCCATCGCAGGGCTGCGCGCTGGGTGTCCCCACAGGTGTCAGGCTGCGTGCTGGGTGTCCCCACGGGTCCCTCTGGGCCGCCAGTGCCCTGCCGTGGATCTGCGGCTGGGTCTCGGCCACCGCCCGGCTGCCCGGGCGGCGGGGCTGCTGCCACGCCGCACGCTCGGCTGTGAAATGCGTGCACTGGCCAGGCGGGGCGCGTCTCGCCCTTTCTCCTTCCCTCCGCCGCCTTCCTGCTCCCCCGCCTCCAGCACCGCCAGGGAGCCGCTTGGGCCCCTGCCGCAGCGCGTTCCAGGCCAGCGCTCCCAGCCTCCGCCGGCACCGCCGCGGCAATCATGAGCATCATGGTGCCCGGCTGCAGGCAGCATTCTGCTGCAGCCCACGCGATCCGGCGCAGCCCCGTGCGGGTTGCGTGTGTGTTTTCGCCTGGAGCGTCATGGTTCCGAATCCAGCTGGCGCTGGCCCTCTGCAGCAAAGGCTGAAGTTTCCCAGCAAAGTGGCGGACAAGCAGATGCTCCCGCTCCTGCAGCCCCGTGGGCCTTCTTCACGCTTCCAGCGCCTGCAGCCCAGGCATCGGTCCCTGAATGTGGCCGTGATGTCGTCCCGCCTCCACTGCCAGGTCATTTCAGCCCCGGCTGGCCGCTCTGGCTCGCTCATCCTGAAACGCTTTCACCAGTGAGTGCCCCCCGACAACTCGAGCGCCCGTGCGAGTTGCCTCTGCCGTGCTGCGACGTAAAAAATCGTGCCGAAAGATAACCACAGGCTTATCGAAGCAGCGCCTAACAACTCGAATGGTGATGATAACGCTGATGGTAAAATATGATTGGTGCTTGTCATACTCCCCTATCCTCCTCCTTCTCCCTCCCCTTCCGCTTGCGCCTTTTCCTGCCCACCGTACCCCCGTCCCCCCCCCCTTTCCTTCTAAAGCAGGGCTGGGATCGGGATAAATCGCTCCAGAGCGTTCCGGAGCGCTCTCAGAGCGTCCGGAACGCTCTGGAGCGGCCGCGGCGCCCCATACGTCCTCCAAACCCGCCGATCCTCACTCAGAGACTTCGAGTCATCCCGATCCGATTTTGTCCCGATCTTCGCGTCGTTTTACCCCCGTCCCCCCCCCTTGTAGAGGCCTCCTGGATGGGGTCGGAGTAGATGGGGTCGAAAGATCGCGCCGCATCGCCGATACATCGGCGATGCATCGTCGATGCATTGGCGAAGCATCGGCGATGTGACAGCGATGCATCGTCGACGTCGGCGATGCATCGGCGACGCCGGCGTGAAGAAGAACGGGCTCCACATCGAGCCGCATCGCCGATGCATCGGCGACGTGGCGCGATCCTCCGACCCCGTCTAGTCGGACCCCGTCTAGGGGGCCTGGACCTTGACTTCCCCCCAGTGTCCCCAGACCCCCGACGTCGTGATTTTTTCATGACGTCGACCCCCAGAGGTCTGGACCCTTTCCCCGGGACCGGTTTTTCATCCTGAGTCGTTTTTTGACGCTCCCGCGGCCCGGTGAGGACCTCCAGAGGGGGAAAATAGAGAAAAACCTTCCGTCGTCATTTTTTCACGACGCGAGGGGGTCTGGGTCGGGCGCGGCCGGGCCGGGCCCGGCGCGCGGTCCTTCCAGGGCCTTGTTGACGAGCTGCACCACCCCGACCACGCGCCCCCTCTCGTGGGCCGCCCGGGCGCTCCGCGCCAGCACGGGCACGCAGAGCACCCGGCCGGGCGACAGGGGGGGGGATAGCAAAGGGGGGGCCTGCGAGAAGCCCAGACCCCCTCGAGCTATGAGAAAATCACGACGGAAAGTTTTTCGCTATTTTCGGCGGGCCCTCACCGGCCCTCGGGACCGTCAAAAAGCGACTCAGGATGAGAAACCCGTCCCGGGGAATGGGTCGAGATCTCTGGGGGTCGACGTCATGAAAAAATCACGACGTCGGGGGTCTGGGATCGGCCAACGTGGCTGATTCCCACGGCGCCTTCCCGCGCCCGGCGACGGCCATGCCTCGAGGAGTGGGCCCCTCGGCGGGGCCGAAACCGGCAGCATGCAGCAGACCTCTTCTTTGGTCTGCGGGGCGAGAGCGAACCTCTTCCGGTGAAAGCCAGGCGGGCTAGTTACGCACAGCTCTCATTGGGGAGACGGGGCACCGGCGGGCGGGGCCTCAGGCGGCCGGAGGGCGGTTATGCGGCAGACCCCGTAACCCCCCCCTTTCCCGAGCCCCCCCCTCTCGCCCGGCCCGGGAGGACGCTCCAGGGCCGCGCGGTCGTCGCCGCCGCCTCGCCCGCGCGCCCGCCGGGGTCCGCCAGGCTGCGCGGCTCCCCCGTGGCGGCGACGTGCGCGGCCACGCCGTGCGCCACCGGGGGCACCCAGGGCGCCCGCCCCGCCACCGCGGCCGCGGGGCGGAGCTCCTGCGGGCCGCCGGGGGCGGGAGCGAAAGGGAGCCCCGCCCGCCAACTGGTCGAGGACCTCCTCCGCCTCCTCCTCCTCCTCCTCCTCCTCCTCCTCCTCCTCCTCCTCCTCCGCCGCCGCCGCCGCCGCCGCCGCCGTGGCCGCCGCAGCCCTCCTCCTCCTCCTCCGCCTCCCCTTCCTCCTCCGCCTGCCTCCTCCTCCTCCTCCTCCTCCTCCTCCTCCTCCATCCGCCTCCTCCTCCTCCTCCTCCTCCTCCTCCTGCATCCTCCTGCTCCTCCTCCTCCTCTCCTCCTTCCTCCTCCTCCTCCTCCTCCCTCCTCCTCCTCCTCCTCCTCCTCCTCCTCCTCCTCCCCTCCTCCTCCTCCTCCTCTTCCTCCTCCTCCTCCTCCTCCTCCTCTCCTCCTCCTCCTCCTCCTACTCCTTCCTCCTCCTCCTCCTACTCCTCCTCCTCCTCCTCCTTCCTACCCCTCCTCCTCCCCGCTCCCCCTCCCCCTTCCCCCTCCCCCTCCCCCTCTTCCATCCCCCTCCCACTCCACCCCCCCCGTCCCCCCTCACCCTCCTCCTCCATCCTCCTCCTCCTCCTCCTCCTCCCTCCTCCTCCTCCTTCCTCCGCCCTCCCCCTCCGCCTCCTCCCCCAGCCCCCCTCCCCCTCCCCCTCCCCCTCCTCCTCCTCCTCCGCCTCCTCCTCCTCCTCCCTCATCCCTCCCCCTCCTCTCTCACTCCTCCTCCCCCTCCTCTTCCTCCTCCTCCTCCTGTCCCCACCCAGAAGGCTTTGAGGTTGTCAGGCTGGAGGCAAAGAGCCCCCGACCCGGCTCGCACACCCTCCGTGCCGCCGGGCCCAGAGTCCCGAAGATCACTGGGACTCCCGCCCTGCGTCTCCAACGACTGATGGCTGCTCCGCGGCCGCGAGGCCCCGAGGGGTCCCGGTGGTGCCTGGGGATCCCGCTTCGCGTCGTTGACGAACAACGGCATGTCGCGCTC